ACCCTAGTGAACAGGTCCTCGATTTTGAGGTTTACTCCACCAATCGCAGGATGGTTGGATTGGCTCTCCACTAGAGATCTCTCGATCATATCAACACGAGCTATAAGCCCGGTTACTCGATCAGAAAGAGATTCAAAAACAGTTTGAACCTGGGTGATGGAGCGAGCAACATCATCATAGCTGGCTCGCTCATTTAGGGCATCGCCTATGCTCATCATGCGATTGGAAACGATCTTGACGCGTTGGCCAAGCTCGGTCACGATGTCCTTAGTCCCTTGTGACAGCTGCATGGCCGCGTTCGCAGCCTGCGTACACGTGCTACTCACATGGACGCATTGGTCGTATTTGGCCCTCCACGAGTTAACCTCAGTGGAGAGCTGCTTGATGCATTGATCACTTCTATCATTCCTACGCCCAAGGTCTTCGACCTTAGCAACCAGGCGATGAATGATCGCACTTACCGAAGAGTCCACTCTCCCTCTTTCAAGGGCTGTTACAAGATCAGCAACCTCGTTGGGTTGCTCCTCATTCGTAGGACCAAATCCTGACCCGCGATCTCGAGGAGTGGACAAATCAACCATGATTGGATTAGATCTCGGAGGAGTTCTGAAATCATCCTGCACGGCCGTTGATGGCCGTGGGAACTCACTCCGATTAGGAGATTGACTCTGATACGGAGCAGATCTCCTAGCATCACGAACCGCAGAGGGTTGTGTCATGCCCAGGCCTTTGGCCACGGGCAGTTTAGGAACAACAGGCCTATCCATTCGCATAGGAACATCAGGTCTCGAGTCAGCAATAACAATGTCATTCAAGTCGGTCGCATTGGACACTCTAGACTCAGACATCGATTCAATATCAGTCGCATTACTGATGGTATGATTGCGACTAGAACTTGATGCCATCATGGATTCAGATTCTATCGGAACATTTGCTCCGTCCATGTCGTCTAGGGCGAAAATGGAAGCCGCGTTGGGCGTAGGGCGAACACCTTGTGCGTTCATGCCACTTGACCTATTAAATTCCTCCTGGAATGCTTCGATTCCATCAAGCACGTTAACGAGTGTGTCCGCGTTTAGCGGGTCTCTACCAATGATTGACGCTGGATCACCTGATCGACCGCGTCCTGAGTCCCGCGCACTGGGGTTACCCCTGTGGGCGGTTTCCCGATCCATCCCCCTTGCCCTATGCGATCCAGTCGAATTTGACCTTGATCGTTTGCTCGGGGTCGGACTGGGATGCAAATCCAATCTATCTACGATATTACGCTCTCTAGGGCTCTCAAATCCTGAAAGTCCTGGGGGAGGGGACATGTTCCTCATGGTCGGGTTTACCGACGGCCTTGGCCTGACGTTACGGCTGGCCACATCAGGATTGAGATTCTCAATCGACAAAGGTAGCATGAATTCATCACTTCCAGCAGCTCGTTTTGGGCTTTGGAAATGCGGGAAAGATGACGGGGCGGGTGGCCCTGGCATCCATGCGGCAAAATCCATACCAAAAATGTTTCCGTCGTTGGGCCATGAGGCTCTCCAATCGAGCCCACCGGATTCGGTCGGCAGATGAACATCGAATGCAACTCCACTGGATGTACCAGGTTCGGGATTACCGAGCGCTTGAAAAACTATACTACTGGTTGGCACAGGTCTACTGCTACTTTGAGAGTCACGAAACTCGGACTGACCAATATTCATCAGCTCCGGGAAAGATGAGGATTGAGCTCCAGGTGCAATACCGGGCTCGTCATCATCACGTCCTGAGACGAAATCATCATGGTCAGGACGATTAGCCCCATGACCCTGAGAGCGATTAGCTCTTGAGGCATTAGACGATAGTCATCAGTGCGAGTAGCACTGGACCTTCCTGAAGGCATTGCTTCTGAAAAAGTGTGGTCCGACAAAAAGTCAGGACCGGAAAACATCGGCTGTCCGGGCACTTGGTCGTCATTCACAACGTCCAAGATTCCGGCCTGGCCGAGAACCCATTCATCGGTCACCACATGAGGTCCATCCTCAGTGATTCCCGCCATACTATTTACACTACCCTACGATGCCTGCAGGGTTGTTAAAAAAGGTTCGCGTGCCAACCGAGGACGAATCCTACGGCTGATAACCTGCGAAAGGGTTTGAAACAGAGTTTCGGGATGGATAAAACAGGCCCTAACCCACCAACAAGAAGAGACCACCTTATCCCCCCCGGTCCCAAGGGCAAAGCGGTTGCCCTCGGCCGGCACTAACACGAACCAAAAGGGGTGCCTCGTTGTAACAAGAAGAAACCAAGCAGAAGCGCAGCACAGCGCAGAGCAGGCAGGCAAACCAGTAGCAAGCAGCACCAAGCGAGCAAAGCAAGCAATAGCAGCGCACCTCAAACAATAGCCCGACCCACCTCCAGGACAAAGAACACCGCCCCAGGCACAACGGCCGCGCAAACACGAGGCCGGTGTGAAGGTGCGCCGTGATCTTTTCCCGACGAAATGGCGAGCAATGAATGCCAGGTGAAAAGCTTGAGCCAAAAGCCGCGTTGGGCTTCGGCATGAAACATGCTATGATAGAAGTACATGCCCCCAAAAACACCTACGAAAGGTGGCCCCGAAGCCCGAAAGGCCGAGCCAAGGAGTTCGAAAGGCCGAGCCAAGAAGCACGTGCCTGGTACTTTGGCTGTCGATCCAAGGGCAGGTAGTAATGATCCACCTCGGAAAATCGTGGAAAATCGGGAAACAACTGAGATACCAACAGGCCAACCTGAGCTTCCGGGCCAGACAAATGTTTCTTTTTGATCTTTCTGAACTCATGCATAAACCTACAGTCAAAGAAACTCTCGATTGTCAAACATTCTCTTATATTTCTTGGATTTTACGAAGGAACCCACACGCAAAGAACACATCAACTGTCAAACAACTTCTAGAAAAGCACGCGTTTTGGGCGGAGGCTATTCCTGGAAACCGTCCCCTACAACGCCTGTCATGGGCCCTCCCGCTCATACTATGATGGAACAGAAGCTGCCCTGTGAGCCTCCAAATTATGCATTTCCGCCGCGGGACATGAGAAAACTAGCGAGTCCCCGGTCTTTGTGGCTGAAATGTAGCGCGTTCCCCCATGTCCCCGCTATATGAAGCATAGACTCTTGACGGGGAATCTTGATCAAACCTCCCGTCGCATCCCTGGTGGTGTCAACAGGGGATCTTGGCTTGAGGGATTCCAGGACTACAGAGGGGCTGGGAACCCCCCCTCTAATCAATGAGTTTATTGATGCTGGATATTGCTCCACTACCGGCCAGGTTTGTTGATGCTGGATTCCCACCTGGCTGAAGCCTTCTGAGATTCTGGGTCGCGGACAGTCAAGGGCTTTGCCACGAAGCCGTTGTTCTGCAGGTACATGCCTTTGAATGAACTTTCCGACTTCGAACCGTCTCCAGGTGTTTGTCTCCAAGATGAAGCTGGTGGTGCAAATAAAACATGGGAGGATCAACCCATTGAATGGTCAATGTTTTTGAAGGGGATTGCAGCTGTGTGTCACAGATTCAGCAGCGGGTTTCAATATTTCAGGACCTAGCGACAGGGCAAAAACAGAATCGGAACCATGTGTTGTGTTGATTCGACTTTTAGTGGCTTCGAGCCTTCCACACCCACCGCCTGGTGTGTCTTGCCGCGCCCGGGTGTCGCACACAGCTTCGTGGCGAAGGTGGTCTTCCCCGAAGAAGTGGGCCCTGCAATGCAAATCACCTGCCAGCAACTCGTGCCGCCGGCTTTTGTCTTAGCCAGGCGGGCCTCAGATGCTGAAGGTTTAACTCGTGGGTTGGTTGGAAACCAAAAAAACTGAACCAGCGAAACATAAAGACCTGAGCGGATGGTTGGGGACCTGCAAGTTGATTCTACGTCCTCAAGGAAACATGGAAGCCCACTTGAGCGCTCACTTGGCAAACCAAACTCGACATTTGAGATAGTCCAAGAAACAAGAACTGGAGAAAGTCAGGCAGCATCACAGGCTGTGAAACAACTGAGTCCAGTTTTTGCAGCTTTCAAGCACTGGGGTCGGGAAACGCGGGAGCTGTGATTTCTTTTATGGAAGCCACCCGTGCGGTCCAACGAGAAGCGTGGATCGAAATTGGCTGAGTTGCTCGCTCCCTGTCCCCCAAAGAAGTGGACATATTGACCAGATCCAGGTCCCCAAAACCCCCAGGTATCTGGAAGCTTCGATTTGGTCGAGGCAAACCTTTTGGAAACCAATCAGTCCCGCGGGACTGAGAGGGCTGTGGGCCAAAAGTAAGCCCAACATCGAACCCTGGAAATTCGGACATGGACCAAAACCTGCGGTCCAATTGCTGGTGGTTTAAACATTTTGACCCATACCCTGTGCAGAGAACTCCTGCCTTCACGTTGCGGTTCTCTGCTTTTCTTTCTTTCACCTGGACGGATGGGCCCGTCAGGGTGGCCAGGCAGCAGGTTAATGGAAGTTTCACCTGAATCCGGGGGATCACTGGATTCCCCCCTCAAAAGCTGCACTTTGCCAGTAGTTTCCATTGCCACTGTTGGAGGCTCCCTTTAAAGGGAAATGGTTAACCCGTAAATCTCTTTGCCCAATGGGTTTAGGTTCAGCCGGTTTTTCGTGGTTGTCTTTTTTCTCCTTGGAACTGTCCGGGCCAAGTCATCTTAGGGCTAGGCTAGCCCCTCGAAACTTGTTCAGAGAACTGAGTCATAATCAAAACTGATCGGTATTCAATTGGTTGATCCCCAGAACCATGCTTCAAGAATCAGGAAGGCGGCCGCAGCTATTTATGGTTGGGACGGTCCCTTGCTAACCTTCACTTGGCCGTGGTTTGATTGTGACTCAACTGTTGCTTGAAAAGCCTCCGGTTAGTGTTTCTTAACACTCTCCCCAATCTAAGAGCACGATGGCTTGTTGGAATTTGCTTGCAATATGTAAGGCGCATCCATGGCATTTAAGAGAGAGAGCCAGGCTGGCCGTTGCTTCTTGACAGCCTCCTTCAAATTGACTAGATTTCACCTGAAGTATCCGCCATGGCCAACGCTCTGCTCCAAGTTGCCGTGACACTGCTGGAACGGACCTCCCTTTTCGCGGGCCATTTTCCCGAGTCCTCAACCCAAACCCCCGAAAAAAAAAGACACGGGGGAAAGTGGGGGCTAACTCCACCCTAGGTCGAACACTTCCTGGAGGGTCCGTCCAGAAAACTCCGAGCCTTCGACGCGCTCGCCGCGCGCGAATCCCGCAACGCTCGCGACGCGCGTGCCTTGGCGATGATCTCCGAGATCTTGCACTCCTGGCGGAACTCGCAGGCCAGGACCTGAGAGAGGCGAGAGAGGTGAGGGCTGGGGCCCTGCTTCTTTTTTACTCTGGAGGTGGATGTATTCTTTCAGGAACGGGACCCACAAAATGACGGGGGCGGCCGGGGCTCTGTTTCTTTTGCTCTGGAGGTGTTTTTTTTGAGGAACGGGACAGCCCCAACAGGACGGAAAAGCCTGGTGTGTCTTTGGTTGAGCCACCTTTGTTGCAGGCGACATGGGTGTGTCACATTTTGCTTTAAAGACCCAAAGACGGAACAGAGCAGCAGGGATTGGCAAGATGTAAAATGTGATTAAACAGTAACACCGTGGTCCGTTTGAAGGGAAGCTAAATAGAAGTTCCGAGAAACAAGTGGGTTAAGCATGTTTAAACAGGTGGTTGGTCTTAGCATCAAAGGCTCTTGCGTGTAAGATTGATTGAGGCAAGCCTCCGATTGCTTGCATCCTGCTCTCCAAAATTAGGCGAGGTACGGAGAAATCGCCATGCATTGATGGGTTTTCGACCAAGAGGCGTCCTTGTCGCCTGGCAGCACCGAAAGAAAAAACAACAACACGGAAACCAGCGTACCACTTCAAGACTAAGCCAAGCGACCTGATTCTCCTTGCATCTATCCCCCTCTGTCCCCCTTGCTAGGGAAATCTCCATCCCTCTGACTACCGTCCCTGCCTTTCAGGTAGACAAAACATATAGGCACTCTTCTGTTTGGTCGCTGATGTTAAAAGGGGTCCACACAAAGGGCCAACAGGCTTGGTTGCTGTTGGCCCCTCTGCAAAAGGCTTAATTTTGTTGCAGGTGCAATTCGGAGAATACCCAGTTTCAAAGATCCATTGCCAAATATCCACCAAGCTCAGCAAGCGTCATTTTTTTGTCGTCTAACCGAAACAGTCCTTTTGCCCGGGTGGGTGGTTCGCTGATAATCCCCGACGAGGCAGGGACAACTTCCGGATCTTTCCCGCCGGGGGCTGGGCGAAATCCTTGCGACCTCGGCCCACTTGCTGCAGGCCGTTGAGCTCTCCTACGGAGCGCACCTGCGCACACGGCAAGCAACTTGGACCAAATGTCCATGTTTTTCCCCAGATAGCTGAAAGCTATAGGGGTTCTAACTTCTATCTGGGGTCTATGCTGGTGTATTTTGTTCATTCTGTTCCAAGAGGACATACAATTTTCTCGGGCCTGCAACATGTCCATGTATGACATGGGAAAAGTGGGTGGGCCCCGCGCGACTTGTGTATCCTGCTTCCCCAGCTAAAGCATGCTAAAGCGAGAGAGCAACAGGCAGGAACTATAGAAACAAAAAAGAGAGGAGAGTCAGTGAAACAAAAAGCAACCAACACCCACGCACACTGACAACCTTATCTTGGCTGAGAGTGAGCGCAAGTATCGTCTTGCGCAAATGTGTCCAATTTCTCCCCAAAAGTAAAATATATTCAATTTCTTGAAAACTACGTCATCCTCAAGCAGGTGATTTCTCGAAAGGAAAGCCAGTGCCACGACATGATGCTGGTCAAAGCTTCCATTTGTATACTTCTTCTTGGCAGGATACGGATGGCTCACAATGAAGCTACGATATCCGAGCATCATAAATGGCGGTACCGATTGTGGCTTACTCGGTAGTTCTAAAGGCAGCAAACTGGGGGGAGAGCATGTTGGATACCTCCAGTACCGCCTTGTCAAGGGTTCTTGCCTGCTCTGAGTGGTGGTAAAAGCTTCCGTCCTGAAAACCAAATCTGGTAAGGCACTCCATATTACCTGACTGTGTGTCAAGACTGGCCTTTTTGAACCACACAAGAAGATGAAGGAGAGCCAAAGCCCGTTCCATGAAACGAAGGCGCTATATTTTGTCAGTTGCGCATCTGAGATTCGTGCTATTCGAGCGCAGCCCCTCTTGTGCCCCCCCAAACCAGACGGTGGCCCCGAAGGCAGGGGGGATTTCCGGGCCTTCTGAGTGCCTTCTGAGTGCCTAGGAATCAGCTAGCCATTGGAATCTTCATGTTGACCCCGGTGACCCCATACCCCGGCGTATTGATAGCGGGGTGTCCAACTGGGTTCAGTGGGGAATCAACACTTTTGGCAGGGGCCCAACAACCACCCTCCTATTAACTGTGGTTGACGAATACGGGGTCAGCCTTATATTTGTTCGGTTCCGCTCGCATGCGCATCGCAAGCAGCCTGGTAGGCCTTGCAGAAGCATTTGTGGTCCACGTGTGCACTGAGCAGCGCCGACCTAGGAAGACGATGGGTTTGTCGGTAAAAATGAAACCACCAGGAATTGGACCGCAGGTTTTTTTTGTCCATGTTTCCATTTACCAGGGCAAGGCATTTTGGGGTTACCCTATTTTTTACCCACAGCCATGTGCTTCTCGCAAGCGTGGAGAGACCAGCGACGAAGCGAGCACTTGATGGCCAATCACACGGAGTCGTGCTGTGATTTTCGGCTTGAGTCTCCAGGCAACTCGATTTTTTTAGAAGGGGGCGAAGGTTCTAGGAGACTGGGTCTGTGTTTCCTGGTTTGGGTGGGAAAAAGAGTGCACGTCCTTGCCAAAGCAAGGGCGAATTGGGGCAAGGCCAGAGAATTTGAGGATGCGTTCCTTTTCTGTAGAGGAACACCACATGCTCAGAAACCAGAGGGCATAATCTCATACAATGACCCGCGATGTTTTTTGACGCCATGAATACACGTATTTTTTGCCCATGGCAGGAGACGTGACAGGATTTATGAGGGAGATTTGATGCGGGGACCGGCCTTGAAGGGGGTACCGGGGTACCTTCTGTGAGCTTGTGAAGACACGCAAAAAGAACGTTGCTGTTTCCGGCCAGTTGTTGTTTTGGATTTGGGAAAAGCAACACTTGAGACGATAAAGGGAATTAGCATTGGCACAAGTCCGGTGTCTTTCAGCTTGACAGGCGGGGGGAAGACACCCAACTTAACAGGGGGGGGGTATTAATCAGTGGTAAACACGCATACCCTCCCAGGAAGTGCAAACAAGCCCTTTTCAAGAGGAAAGTAGTCTTTCTACAGGAGTCTGTGCACTTCCATGTTAGCTGGTGGGAGGGTAACTTGCTATGACACACTATCCCATCTCTTGGCAGTGTTGGGTGTATACCAGGCACCTCTTGCATCCTTTTTCTGCCTACCCCTCAGCTGGTCCATTTTCCAAACCCTTATGGCCCGACCGGGGCAGAAAGGCGCGGTCAAAACACCAAATGGCTCCTCTTCATAGGACAGCCCTGGCTTTGTCAAGATAGTATCTGAAGGAAGCCAGACTAGGTCCTCCAGTAGAGAGGCTAGAATAAGGGTAGGGGAACCCTCCCCCAAAAAAGGTTAAAAGGGCACCTAGCTGGAGGACCTGGCAAAGGAACGCTGCGGCCGAGGTCTTGACTGAAGCTCATAATCCTTGGTGTAGGCGGCGACCTGAGTTGGAGCTTCACGTGGCTGTGGGTCAAAAAAAGGGAACCCCAACTGGAACCCTGGCAAGTGGGACCAGGGACCCCCTTTTGCTTGGCTTCAAAGGAAAACTACGAGGAAAGCCGTTTTGCCATTTGGCTGTGGGTCAAAAATAGGGTAACCCCAAAATGCCTTGCCCTGGTAAATGGAAACATGGACAAAAAAAACCTGCGGTCCAATTCCTGGTGGTTTCATTTGGACCCATACCCGCGTTTTGGCACTCCAGACCTGAAAACTGGGGGCTGCGACGGGGTGACTTCCTTGAGGGGGAAACGTGATCCGCTGCTCGCAAGTCTACCAGTGAAATTCACAGGTGCAAATTAAGAAAGCAACGGCTTCGGCAAACAACCGCGCTCTTTTTGCAGTAGCCCAAAAAAACGGTGGTTTCGTTTGGCGTCCGTTTCAAAAAACAACCACCAACCCACTGGCAAGAGGAACCAGCCAACCTTCCAGGCCGCTTACTCACCTGTTTTTTTCTGAACTTGCTGGGGTTGTTCAGCCGGACAAATGGCTGTGGGTCAAACAAAGGCACCCCAAAATGGCTTGCCCTGGTAAGTGGAAACATGGACCAAAACCTGCGGTCCCCTGTTTGTTTAATTTTGACCCATACCCAAATGGGTGGAAGCTCCGGAAGGACAAGGGGAAAACTCCCTACCAAAAATGGCCTGCACATGAGTTTTTGCCACTTGCTCTTAGCTCCTGTAACACTATCCGTCCCGATGATTCTTCATTGCTAGAACTTCTGACTCAAAGCGGACCATGGACCTTTCCCAACAAATTGGACCTTCACGTCAGCTCCAGAGGATATCTGCTTGCGGATGTATTTTGCCGCATGCCAATAGGATTGAATACACAGACCATAGACTTCAAGACAGACCAGCAAATCCAGGCTGTGGGAAACACGGCCTTCCTAATCTCTAAGTTCACTTTGAGGGTGGAGGTTAACCCGTAACCAAGTCAGCCCCAAAGCTTGGTCCGGACAAGAGCCCGGCGGTCAAAACAGGAGCCCTTTTCCGAGTTTGTGCGACGCAAACGCAGCCATCAAGGTGTTCAAAAAAACAAAGAGTCGCGCCCAAGCCTCTGGTGGGGGTCAAACAAACGACGAGGCAACATCCAGGCCCTCAAACGAGAAAGAAAAAAACAGAAATCCAACTCAGCGCCTAAAACCCCGTTGATGAGGCCTGGTTCTACTGACATGGTTATACAGGCTTTGCTATGAAGCCAGTAAACCAGGGTAGTAGAACCTACTAAATTGCCAGTTGGGGCGCCCAAAATGGCGACCACGTCAAACAACCCCAGACTGAATTCACCTGAGGCCACCGCAAAGCCAGGGATTTCCCTGTAGTGCACAAGGTTGTAGGTCCCTGCCTGGCCAACGCATTCCGCCCGGTTCGTCCTTTCCGCCCCCGCCCAGCCCCGTTTAGAGCAAACACATGCCAGAGGGCTAAGTGAGGGAGCTCCCATGCCCCACAACAAAAGCATGAAGTAGCCCTTGAGCCTTGCAGCCTGGGGCAAAATTGAGCTGAACAGTCACAGGTGTCCTTTTTAGGCTACTTTGGTAGATGGCGCTGGTTTAGATTGGTTTGATTCCATCTACCAGGGTATTTTGTCCACTTTATCTGGCTCCTCTTGTCACACATGGCTGTGGTTGTCAAAACCGTCTTGGGATTCCATTTTGGTTGGTAGGTGAATTCACCACCCATTTTAGAACCTATTTTAGTGGGGATTGGGATGTTCACTGGGGGTATGGGCTTTTGACCCGTGGCCACATCTTCAAGCCCTGGTTCCTAACCTGCCTACCTCAACCGCACCTTCAATCATGTATCAGCCCGTGTGGTGCCCTGATCAAGTTTTGCTTTCCTGGTTGAATACCACTGGATTTGATTTGACCCACAATAAATATAGTGATCTTCCTTTTGGCTTCCGTTTAAAACTACCCTAAAAAGGGAAGCCCCGACCAAAAAGCAACACCCTCATGCCTTTTCTGAACTGGGCTGCCCTCAGATCCCCCGCTAAAAGTGAATAACCTTTGGTGGGATAAGTGGACACTCCCACTAAACACTAAAAGGCTAAAAAGCTAAGGCAGCCACAAAGTGAACATGTTGAATGTACCCGAAGACCCTTTGTCGCTCGGCCATGGCACAGATCCGGCGTGATAAACAAAAAAACAGCAGACCTCCAAAGCCTTGTCTTTGAAATAAAGAGGTCTGCAGACGGTCAGCAATCTCCGGTGACTTCCTAAAGTAACTCGAAAGCAATACAAATACAAATGATCGAACTAATACAGCTCTACTAATAGTCGCAATTCTCAAACCAATAATGATATGAATAGGGAAATTATTACTCAACATAGTAGTACGGATGATCATAACACATATAACAATGACAATAATGATTACGCTAATCAAAATCATGCCATATCCTTTTAGGGCTTGTTAAAACAGGGTCCTTTCAAGTGACATCAGGTGACCCTCACCTCCACATGGTTTAAGGTGACAGACCTAAGGCTAGGTCCTCCAGTAGAGAGGTTAGAATAAGGGTACCCTTTTTTCTGCAGTCTATTTTAGTAGGGGAACCCTCCCCAAACAAGGGTAAAAGGGCTCTACTGGGGGACCTAGAAGGTAATGTTCAGAACCCCCGGCAAAGACACTCCGACCGCCCGCACGCAGCGCCAGAACATCCCGATTGCCTTCAAGGCCGCTGCCCGCTCGTGCACCGGGAACAGGTTCAGCCGCAAGACGCCACGACATTGGTAGCAAGGCACCTGTCGAGTCTGGGAAGCTGATGGACAAACTCCATGATCCCCGGCGAAAGATGACTAAACCCACCAAAACCACAATGATCCCCGGTTAAAGGCGACTACACCAACCAAAAATCGAAAAACAGAGTGGGATGGCTGGGAACCACCCAGGCGGTTTCTGGTCACAAGGCCTTCATTTAAACTAGACTTCGGACCTTCGGCTTGGAGTAGTCCGTCCAAGTATACCAGGTGGAGAAGACCCGCAAAGGACCATGTGTTCTTGGTTTACCCTATTGGGAAAAAGGGAAGGGCTCTCTTAACAGACTTCTTTGGGGGGGACCGAAAACGGGGGGAAAACAACACATAGGACAGTAAGCTAAGGAATATGCCCGGCATGGAAGCCTCCAGGAACCCTGCCACCTCAGGGACTGGTTCCCTCACTTAAGGGTTCGTCTCACCTTTACCCGCAATCCAAACTACCAAGGGGGACCTGATCTAGGTCCTCCAGTAGAGAGGTTAGAATAAGGGTACCCTTTTTTCTGTAGTCGATTTTAGTAGGGGAACCCTCCCAACCAAAAACGGGGAGAGAAGGGCACTACTGGGGGGGCCAGTGATTAACCGCCTTGCCCTGGCTTCAGGGTCCTTGATTGTGACCAGTGCCACAATCTCATGTTGGCCTGAAAAAGCGCCCGAGAAAAACTGACCAAAGGGCACCGCCGATGCCTTGATTGACGTTGGAAGGGGAGCAAAATTCTAAATTTCAGCAGTTAAGTGGTTTTGGATTTCAACCACTAAACCAGAATAAGCAAAAATGATTCAAGTGTTTCCCAGCGACAACCATGATGCAACCGACAACAACCAACCCACTCGAAGCCGTGCGAGCCGTGCCGAAACGCGCGCCTCGCTTGTGACCCTCGAGGCCAGGAGCGCCGCGGCGCCCGTCAAGCTCCGCTCCTTGAAGTAGGCCACGGCCTCCGCACGGCCCATGGGGCCCTTGGGATCGGGGGGCGGGGGGGGGGTTCGGTTCTTCGGGGTGCCAGGTGTGCGTTTTTGTTTTCCTTTCCTGGGCTGCCCGTTTTCGGATCCCCCGCGAAAAATGAATAAGTTTTAGTGGGTTAAATGGAAACCACGAGTAAACACTAACAGGCGAAAAAGCTCAGGGGATGGCTGGGAGCAACCAAGTTTTGGATTACCCTTACACAAAGCTGAAAAGGATGGCCTCTGAACAAAATGAAGACACACACACACACCCATCCATCTGGAGTGTGCCTATGTTCCCAGTTGACATCATGAATGCCAGATGTTGCCACCAAGACTTGGACAGGTGGATTGGCAATGGTGGACCCCACTTGTTCGACCCCCAACCAAATTGTTGGGGCTCCCAATAATCAAAAGTGGAAAGAACAGCGTCTCCCCGTTTGGAAAAACGGGCCAAGAGTGCAACTGCGGGGTAGCTTTTCTTGCATCCGCAAACAACAAAAAAACCCATACAAATGCATCCTACCATCACCTATGCCCAAAGGCGATCCTCCAAATCTGGTAAGTCTGACGTTCAGTACTTCCAACAAGGCGTTAAACAAACCAAGGGGCAAAGCCAAAACTGGGCAAAGAGCACCCAAAAGACGAGCCCACGGGTGGCACTCCGTGTTTTGGACAAAGGACTGGTGGCTTGACTTTTTGAGACCGTCAGGTAGACCTGAATCAAGGCATGCTTGATCTCTCCCCAAAATCGGGAACCAGGTTTCCAAAACACGCATTTGTGTGTAATCGTGCCCTGGAACAAATGGGAGAATATATCCAGCAGTGACAGATTCCCTTTGAACTCAGGAATTCAAAACATATTCTGTTGTAGGCATCTCGGCTCAAATGCCACTTGCTTCAAGGAGTAGAGATCCCAGCATTCGGCGATGGCGCCATTCGCCACGTCCACCGTCCAACAAGCCATGCTCGCCAGCGTGGTTCTCTGTCTTTTCATGATGAAGTGCCTCCTCGTAGGATGGGCTTCTTGTACTTCATGGCGGACGACGGGATTTGCTTCTGGGCTTCTTCCACGCCCTTCCTCGGATGATGTCACGCCCTTCCTTCTGCATGGCCTCGTGCGCAGGCATTTCTACTACTTCTCTGAACAGGTGTGATTCCTTCCGGTTTTCTTGGTGCTCCTCGGCTGCTTGGCAGCTCCAAGGCTTTTTCCCTGTGGGCTCCGTTTGCCACGAGTGCCACTGCGTGCGCCAATCTGCGCATGGAGATTGGCTCCGTTCGTTGGTGCTTCCCGCTCTACCCGACTCCTTCTGCTCCCCGAGTGGCGTAGGCTTTGCCATAAATCGCTTTCGGCTTGGGCATGGACTTGGCTTTTTGCTGAGTTTCAGTTTCCGTGGTGTTTGGATGCCCTTCTGCCTCCTGGGCTTTACATCACCTTTTGCGACTGTCTCAAACATTTGGCGAGCCTCTGCTCTTCGCCCCCTAGATGTTCTCTCAGCGCAGACTTGGCCGGAGGATGCCTCGCAATACTGGGACTATACCTTTTCCTTACGGAGTTTCGTGCTTCTCCCATAGGTGTCCTTTTTGGTTGTTTTGCTAGAAAAATAGATGGCCCTGGTATACCTGGTGGTTTAATCATCTACCCTACCTATGGTCTTGCAGCTGTTTTCTTAGAACTCAGAGTCATCTCACTTTGAAGGGGCGCGACCACTTAGGATTTTTCTTCCGAAGGGCTCTGTCATCGGAGCCTCTCTCGTTCTCACCTTTGTCGTCTTTGGATTTTGCTCCTTCTTGCTCCAAGAGTTTGTCCCAGTCGCTCCTGGCGGCTGATCTTTGCACTTCGCAAGAGAACGGCTGAGTGTGGTACATGGCCATGCAGGCGTGCGACTCATCCTTGCGCTCGTCACATGAAACATATATGGCCGTGGGTCAAATTCCCGTACCCCCAGTGAACATCCAAATCCCCACTAAATTAGACCCCAAAATGGTACCATTGGTTTTGACCCACAGCCATATACCTTTCAGCAAATGGAAGAAACTGGCTCGAAACCAATTTCTGGGTTCAGTCCTGGGGGGTTTGCACTCCAACGCATTGCAATTTCACTTGGGTCTTCCTTCGAATCCTTCGAATCCAAGGAGGGGGGGGCAACCTGTTTGGCGCAGAAAACAAATCAGCCCTTCGAAGCCAACAACTCCTGGGGGGCCAAAGGACCTGGAAAACAAATGGACAAACAACATACACCAGAAGGGCATTTCAGGTGGATTCCAGTTGGGCTAAGGAAATACACCGGGTCATGTCAGATGCAAACAACAAAACCTTTGGCCGAACCAACAAAAACACGAAACAAAAGCGCCGCCTTTTTGTTTCTTTTCTTCTTCGCCTCCCGCCTCCTTCCAGGGCTTGGTCACCTGCTCGATGGCATCGCCGGACTCCACTAAGTCTGCAAGCTTCTGCTTGATGCTCTCCACCTCAATCCGGGTGAATTATAATACTTCCCGACCTGAAATAAGGTGGTTGGGGGCTGTTCCCCACAGAAACCAACATTTGGGGTGAGGTCGTGTGAGGTCGTTGTAATTCACCCAGAACAATGGGACAAAGAGCTGGGCGTGGCTCAACTTAAACCGTTGGTCTTTGGATCCTTGCAATTGCAAGCGGCCCAATCATGGGCACCACATTTTTTTGAGCCACAGCCAAATCTCAGGTATCAAATCCGGCGATGGACCAAATCCACCCACCGGGAAAAATTGAAACCCTGTGAGCACACCACCCAGCTGGTGCGAACTGGATTTTGTCCATCATGACTACTTTACCTTGAGTCAACGTGTTTTTCTCAGGTAGGCTCGTGGGAACTGGGCCATATAGGCTAAGGGTCGTTTTTAGTTAATGCTTGTTGGCTTTTTTTTGTGGCAACAAAAACACACAAAAAAAAACGGCGCCTCTTTGAGGCATACCCTTCCCATGGATCCGCTGGCCTCTTCGACTGAATTGTTGCCGCCCTCCAGCTCGTAGAGAAAGCCTCGGTCACGGTCTTTTGGGCTCAAAAGCCCTGGGAAGCCTTGGTACAACACCAGCACACGCAGGCCTGTGGGAAATGACCACTTCTGTGATAGGACAAAAAGGTCCCCCAAAGACTACCTCGCCATCGAAAGAGGGGACTTCCCTTGTATCGCAGAAGTGGTTGGATACCCCCCTTGATCCCAACTCTGAGCACATCTCGTCAGGTTAGCAAGCAATGCAAACGCCACTTGAGGTTGCAGCCGTCGCCCAATGTATGACCTGCAATCCGTGCAGGCACAAAAGGAAGTTCGTGACAAAGCATCTGCACCAGCAATTGCTGAAACAAACCGACCTACCAACCAACCAGCCAGCCAGCCAGCCAACCAACCAATCGATCAAAGACTCACTCACTCACTCACTCACTCCACTCCACTCAACTCAACTCGACTCGACTCGACTCGACTCGACTCGACTCAACTGACCTCAACTCACCTCAACGCGACTCGACTCAACTCACCTCCACTCACCTCGACTCACCTCAACTCACCTCCAATCCAATCCATAAATCAATAATTCAATCAATCAATCAATCAATCAATCAATCAATCAACCAACCAACCAACCAACCAACCAACCAATCAATCAATCAATCAATCAATCAATCAATCAATCAATCAATCAATCAATCAATCAATCAATCAATCAAATCAAATCAAATCAAATCAAATCAAATCAAATCAATCAATCAATCAATCAAATCAAATCAAATCAAATCAAATCAAATCAAATCAAATCAAATCAAATCAAACCAATCAATCCAATCAATCCAATCAGTCCAATCAATCCAATCAATCAACTCAATCAACTCAATCAACTCAATCAACTCACTCACTCACTCACTCACTCACTCACTCACTCACTCACTCACTCACTCACTCACTCACTCACTCACTCAATCAATCAATCAATCAATCAATCAATCCAATCAATCCAATCAATCCAATCAATCCAATCAATCCAATCAATCCAATCAATCCAATCAATCCAATCAATCCAATCAATCCAATTAATCCAATCAATCCAATCAATCCATCCATCCATCCAATCAATCAAATCAAATCAAATCAAATCCAATCCAATTATTCAACCAATCCAATCAATCAACATGAGCCTCCTCTGAGCTGAAACTTGGGAAAGGCCAGCTCAGCAGCAACCTCACGGCTGGGGTCATGGCTGGGGTGGCCCTCGGAGTTAGACGAAATAACCTGTCGCTTTGAAGGAATCAACCGGTTCGGGTCTTGACGGACTGAATGAACGGGGAAAACCAGTTCTCCATAGTCATTTCAGTTCCAGTCATTTCAGTTCCTGGCAAACAACTTTTCTGTTTCGGAGACCCAGGGGACGCTTTGGTAGGCCTGCTTCAGAAGCTTCCCAGCCCTTCTCACGAAATTGCCCCCAAACCATTGCACTGGGTGATACATCGATCCGGAGACGTACAAAGCAAACACAAAAGGCACAAAGTAGGCCAGTCGCCACCCAAGACATACTTTCCAAGTCTGCGGGAAACGAGCGATCCTGCTTGCACACCCTGTTTAGACATGTTGAAACCTCTGATTTAGCATCTGCACGCTGTGCTTTCCACAAAGCAGTCTTTGTGCCGAGTCTCGCTTTTGTCTTCTTCAGGGGCACTCGCGTCAAAATGGATTGTTTTCTTCGCTGAAAGACATCGCCCCATGTTGCCACTGAGACTTGGACGGAGACCAAAAGCCGCAACGTCCTGCGGTACAAGTCGTCGGCCGCGCGCTGCTCCTGGCAGCGAAGGTCAGCGACAACTCCTAGTGGATTCTTTCTTGGTTGCTGCAACGAGCCCTCTGCAAAGGAGGGTCATTTTTTTGTGACACGGGTCCAATTCGGAAAATCCACTGGCTTTTTTCAACCCAAAAAGTGAAAAGTGCAAAGATCCGATGCAATGTTCTATGGATCATATTTTTTTTGAACTTTTCAGTGTGTACACCCAAACAGGATCAGCTTGTTTTGGCCCATGCGATGTAGCAAGCTTCCCACTGGATGGACACATGCAAGCATGGACGGCGGGCTTTAAGCTTCATGACATGTCCAATGTAGTTTGGCACACATGCTAAATTTATGAACCATTGTGGAACGTGTTTCGCCCCGTTTCTCAAATATTGGGTCTAGAACAATCCAAAAGAAATGGGCTCTGTTTCATATCCTGTCTCTCCCAAAACAAAACCATCGTCTTGGAGAGAATAAAACCCCTTTTTTGCGGCTGCCGTGCACCCTCCGGTGCAATTGGCCAGTGGTGCCGCCATGAGAGCAGCCTGGGAGCTGAACTCTCGCTTTGCCTTTTCGATCTAGGTCTGCTGTTGGACAGTATGCCTCATGGACCTAGCGGGGCTATAGAATTATAGGGGGTTCAATAGGTGACCGTTGCTGGTGCGATCATTCCCTCACTCCCTGCCTGTCGCACGAGCAAGTAACCGCCCCACAAATCCCCAAAGGCCCCTTTTTTGCGGGGAACCCTCTGCGCACACCAGACCTTCCAACACACTGTGCCTTACTTACAGTATGTCTCAAAATAGGCGGACCCCCAAATGGAGGCTTCTGGGAGCTTAAGACATCCTGGGAAATGCCCTCAAAAGCACAACCCACGTGAACACTGCAGTGTGGGCTCGGAGAAGCAAAGACTCACCGAGCACCGGGCGAAAGTAAATGAATGGTCTGGGGCCAAATGGCTGCATGTGGCGGCGAGCATGGAACAGTGCAAGTTGTGGACCCACTGCGCATGCGCAGCACTGCGCTGCTACAGCTGTTGCCCCGAAGCAAACATCGTAGATTTGAGTCTGGCCCACTTTTAGTAAACCTTTACCTCCATTTGCTTAAGTCCCCCGAACAACAAAAACACATATTTCCAGTAGTGATAGATTCCCTTTAAAACCAACAGGGGAAACTAAACCATATTCTTAACCAAATGGACGTTTAAATGTAGCATATGTCAATGCTCTCTGGCACAAACCAATCATTGCAAGTCGCAAGATCAGTGCGGTCCATTTCATGAATCTCGCGCCCGGGCAAAGTCATGCAGGGTCGCAATTGCGAGTGCACGAGTCCCTGATAGTTTGTCAGTGCCTCGTGATTCAGAGCAGGGAGCCATGGAAAGATCATGACCATTCCCGTTGCAAGGGAATCTGACTAGGACTAGGAGCAACTGCTGAAGAAAATACGTGACAAACACCAATCGTTGACTCCTTTCTGGCTTCTTACGCAACCCTCCATAAAGAAGCCCTATGGAACCAGGCTTGGTTCAACCCGTTGTTTCAACATGTAAAGACTATCTTTGACCATTGTTTCAGCACAACTTGTTTTTTTGTTTCGGTTTCCCTTTCAAGGGGACTGGGTGGTTGGCTTGACCCTGGAAGCATGACAGCACCTCGGGCAGCACAAAGTCATTTACGGTACGTCATTAGCTCGGCACGGCCGTCTTGGCCAAACCAGGACAGCCCACTGAATCGAACCCAAGGAGATTACCACATAAGCTTTCATTCGGGCATCGATCCTCTGAAACAAGTCTGAAACAAGCTGTATCTTTTCACAAGCTGTAGTCTTGAATGTGATTGAAAGAAGCAGCATTCCGTGGGCCAAGCTCCAAAGGCCAGCGCTCTGTGCTACTAGCCTAGCAGGCCCTGCGATTGCGGGTCATACCTCAGCCGTGTGGGCATGCAGAATGAGGGTTTGAGGCACCCTCTAACAAGGTCTTACTCTTGGTGTCCCGTTTAGTCGTGCAAAGTGGACCCCCCAGCTTGGCGAAAACCCGAGTACTGTGCCTGGGGCGGTGGCAGATTTGCAAGATTTCACCGCCAACTGGATCCGTTTTTGGCTGCCCGCGTTTTGGCGTTTGCCACCAGCCGTTTGAGATGTTACGTTGCTTGTTGGCTAACTCTGTGGCCTTCGTTTTGACATTTGACTGCTTGTGGTTTGCCTTTGTTTTGGGGGAGACATGTGCATTTCTCCTCTTCAACACTCGGGACGTACTCCGGGGTTCACAAAAAGAAAATCGGGCCCGCATCGCGGTGCTTATTCACCAGGACAGAAACGGCTTGGCGGCTGGTGGTCCAAACATTTCTCTTGCTGAACTCCAAACTAAACTAACCATCTGAAAGGCTCCGGTGACACGCAGCCAAATGTCCTCGCAGGAACCCTACTACAGGCTACCTGCAAATTATATATGAACTGACCTCAGCACAATATGAACTGAGCTCCAAGCCAGTCCTGAAAGTGAACACTTTTGCAATTTGACCAGAAGAATACATGCTTTTCACCTCTCCAAGTATCAACATGAGGCAAGTCTCATCAGGAGGCAAGTCTCATCAGGTATGTCTGATCTCTTACCCCTTTCTGTCTTTCCCTCGCCTGTGCAAGTGAATAGGGTGCCCGGAGAACTTTTGATCATTTTCCCATGCCCTTTGTGGCTTCCTGTTGCCCATGCCGTTTTGCAGCGACTCATCCGTTCTAACCCCCAACCACTGCTTTTTGGACTTGGACCACCTTGTTGGACAGCACTTGGGGTTTGGGACATACAAAGCGCTTCTCCTTTTTTCAGCACATACATTCTACACCTGAACATTGCCTTGTTTATTTGGTGGTTTCCCTAAACTTTGGTGTTGAAAAAGCCATGTTTCAAATGGTTGCAAAATGGAGATCTTTCAAGGAGCCCTGAGCAATTTGCTGGGTATAAAAGAACTGCCCCAAGCAATCAAGAGAAACCCGTCCCAGATCCCATTTGTGGAACATGGGGTTGTGGAACATGGGAGAGACCGCGCTTGCTTCGGGTTCTCCCTCGCCAAGTGCTGGGCGGGTTGAAGCTCTGGCCGCCTCTGTAGGGGGAAAACTCCTCTCTAGGGGACACTTCCATTTCCATTCCTTCCAGGGATCCGAGTCTTTTGAGAAGACCAGCAGAATCCCCTGGGGGAAACAGCGATCCGGTTTTTGAAAAGAAGGATGGTTGAAAAGAATGGGGAATCAACCCCTAGATCATCGAGTACGTTCAAACACAATGAGTCCACCCATTTTCAGCCCCCCCACTTTGATACATGCCTGACCAGATACAGTTGGTGTGGTTGAAACTCAGAGTGTCCATGTCTCCATCAAGTGATGGACAGGACAGTTCGAACGAATTCGCTTGGTGTGTCCCAAAAACAATTGCTTTCAGCTTGAAGCATATGGCAGTTTCAATCCCCATCTAACATCAAACCACGGGAACCACTCAATGCATAAATGCCATGTTCAAAATTTAGCATGCGAGCACAAGTGACACTGGGTTCTTGTCAGAAATACCAATTTCCCCATCACGCTTCGGTGAGTGTGCCCCATCCCCCTCACAGTAGATTCATGCAGGTGAGGTTCGTTCAAGCTCCCTTGTGCCATGGACGATGTTCCTAAATCAAAAGGGATGGTACCCGCTCCAAAATCATGGAAGCCGCCGGACGGGATTGAAAGACACCGCTTCCGCAACAAACAACGCTCCGCTTTAAGTGGGATGGCTTCCAACTGCTTCAAGTGGACAAGGCCCTCTGCAGCGCATGAGATTCTATCCGCCCTCGTACGAGTATTTGTTTGACATACTCTCCAACTGATCAACTCCCCTATATATATTTGTTTATGTACATATATGTACATATGTAGACATGTGATTCCTACATGCAGACTTTATTCATGTATATGAGGCTTCATATACATACCTGCAACTTCCTGAGGGTACATTTTTTTGCCGTTTGGCAAAAAGACAGATTTTTCTGCCGTTTCGCGAAAAAAGCACCGTTTTCCACAAAAACTGCTGTTTCACAAAATGCCACTTTGAAGCCCGTCTAACGGTCGGGAAAAGTTGCCGTTTGGACGGGAAAAGTTGCCGTTTGGACGGGTAAAATTGCCGTTTCGATTTGGCAAGCGACCGCCTGCAACGCTCAACTTGCAAAACTGTCGTTTCGCAAAAAAAAACGTGCAGTCTCGATGGAAAACAATGTGTTTAACCAAAAAGCAGAAAAATGTACCCGCCGGGAAGCCGCAGGTATAGTATATCATGGTATAGAGGATCACCAAAAGACTGCACATTGGGCCACCTGCCTGACATGGACCGGCCAAACACGTTCGCTCATTTCCTGATGGCCGAAGTGTCGACTCAGATCTCCGGTAAAACCCTAGGACTGAATCTGAGTCGGCTAATTCGGTGCGTATATGTGAGCTTGTTTTTTGACAGCCCCCTCTTTAGGCTGGTTTGAAGGGACACCAAAAGGACAACCCCCCCATGGTTCGGATTGGTGGTTTGGAGAAGGGGTAGCCTTGTATAATGCAGATATTGAAAGCAATTCGACTTGGTCGAATCGCCGAAGCCTCTGAAAAGCACCCCACCGTGTGCAGGCCAAGTTTCAATCACCCGAGTGCCCCCCAACGGCAAATTTAACAAATGATGGCTTATGGGCATCATTTTGCTTGCGCCATGTGGGCTGCCATTTTTGTTTATGTTGCATGGAGGTATATCTGAAACCAGATCCTAGCCTTTGGGCCAACTACCATGGTTTTCGGTCTCAAGTACCACTCTGAGGTCGCCAAAGCGAGCTCGGGACTTGATCGCGTCGTTGATGCTCGTTGATGCTCGTTGGTGGTATCATAGCCGTGCAGACTCAAGATGCCAGCCAAATATACCCCAGTCATAGGGCAACACCCATACTTCCCGCCCTGAAATAAGGCATGGTTGAGTTTCTATTGCCCCCCAAACTGTGAGCGGTTTTTCCTGGTCTGAAGCAACTCAGAGCTCGCGCCTGGAAAGCGTGGGTTGTTGAAGCCCAAGCCGCCGGCCTGCAAGTCACAACCGGAGACCCTATAGGATTATGTGGGGTTACCGCGTCGGCAAAAAATATGTGAGCCCTCAAAACGCTTGGCTCACCTTTGGCTTCCTTGAAACCACCACAAAAAGGCAAACTGATTGAACATCGAACGTGGTCGCTTACTCCAGTAGTTGGCTTAAGTTTCCCATTAAACCCGCCAACCCGGGCCGTCCCCATTTGAGAAATGGGACCATTCTACCTGTGGACTGTCTATGCCTTCCAAGGCCAAGGACGATCCCTGCAACTCCTCGACGCACACAAACACCGTGGTTCAACCGAAATGAACGTAAGAATGAACACGTGGTTGCCTTCGGGGGGAACAACAACAAATCCACCAAAGAACGGTTGCCTCATGTCGGGAAAGTCCGGGTCTATGGATGTTGCCTTTGTTCCCATCCAGAAAGCCAGGCTCCGGGTTCTTCAGAATGGGG